GTGACTCAAGTCCCATAAAGGAGGCCTAGTAAGTGCTCTCGGGGGACCCCAACCTGCTAGCAGACTGAGTGTTTTCTACACCTATTAATGAAAGATGACTCTTGGCTCTATCATTAATAACAGACATCCAAATGAAACAGGAAAGAAAATAAAAAGTGAATTATTAGCACGGAATGACCTAGCTTAAGAGGGCATCTGGGCTAGAAGTACCACATCAGTTATTTCTTCCCTTGTATAGGTCCCCAACCTCAGCATTTGCAAAATAATTTTTATTGTTTTCCCTTTATATTTTAATTTGCATTCCTCTGTATTTGCTTGTTTCACAGCAGCAGATTACAGTGACATATAGCAGCCTTTAATGTATTTTGAAGACTTTTAATAATATAGGGAAATGTTCATAATATAATGTTAAGTGAATGAAACAGACTATGTAATCATCTATGTAATAGAAGACTAATTTCATTTTAAGAATATTAAATGTATATATGCTTGGAAAAATTTTCTCAGAGTTGTGGGATTATGGGCCATTGTTTCCTTCTTTGTACTTATTCAGTATTTTCTAAGTTTTTAACACATATATTATTAATACTACCAAAATAATTTTAAAATACACACACACACAGGAGCTAAGATCAAGTAGTTTCAAAAATGTTTCAAGGACACTCTCACGTGTGATGCCAAATCTCCCACAATCTTTCCAGAGTGTGTGGGATTCATACTTAAATGTCCATGAGCTCTTACCATTTCCATCTTTCTTTCCCCCAGTTTCAATTAACAGAGCTTTAACTGTAAGATATAGTTGCTCCTGAATGGCAAAAGTGTACTTCCCCTGTCCTGATGCTGGGTCCTCTTCCCCTAAACTAATACTTCATGGCCAAATCTCAAATCTTAAGGAAACACTACCTTAGCACTTCTGCACTTGACGTTTGATTCTGCTCTTCTCCATTCTGTCCACAACCACAAGCAGGACAGGGACCAGGTCTGCCCTCCTTGTCTCAACGTCTAGCCATGCATTCAGGTACTCCGCAGACCACAAATCAGAGATTGCCAGAAAACAGCTTCACGAGCAAGGCTGGCCATTTTTATAACTAATGTGTAGTTGCCTATGTGTTGTGATTTAGAAAGCATCTCTACTCCTCGTTGTCTAAAATGATGTCACCAGTGAATGGTAAAGCTTTCCTAGTGTAAATGATGTCATCAGATTCCTTTCTTCCTTCAGAAGGGGGACAGCAATATGACAGCAGGGGGCCACTGTGGGAAAGAGGGTGTCCCAGCAATGGAAGGAGCCAGAAGTAACAGCAACCGAAGCTCTAGCACATTAAATATGCACACCTTCTGAACCACACCTTCAACTAGGACAGGTGCTGTTTAGGACCAAAGACCAGATGCCTGACCAACCTTTGTTTTTAGAATGAGGAGTTTGGGCATTTAAGTCTGGGGTGGGCAGGATGCAAGGGTTTGCATGACATGGAAGAGAAAACGTGGAACCAACATTAGGCTGAGAAAGTTAAATATATGTTCACAATCCTGTAAGTCTTTAGCAACTCACAATTCCATTGCATTTAAAGGACATGGTAGCTCACACCTGTAATCATAGCACTTTGAGAGGCCAAGGGCGGCAGGATTACTTGAGGCCAGGAATTCGAGACAAGCCTGAGCAAGAACAAGACCTTGTCTCTACAAAAAGTAGAAAAATTAGCTGGATGTGGTAGTGCGCCTGTAGTCCCAGCTACTCCAGAGGCTGAGGTAGGAGAATCGCTTGAGCCCAGGAGTTTGAGGTTGCTGTGAGCTAGGCTGACACCACTGCACTCTAGCCCAGATGACAGAGCAAGATTCTAACTCAAAAATAAATAAATAAAAAGTAAAGGATGAGTGAAGGTACAAACTGTGGGATCCTCAATTTGGAGACCTCATCATTTTCAAAAGTCAAGTAAATTCTGCCCATTCTTATAAGAATTTCTGTATGTGATAAGAACATCTTATACAAAAAGGCTCCCATTTACCTAACATAAAATGTCATGTGTTTCTCTCTAGAGTTCTTCTGACCCCTGCCAATATACAGACAACCATATTCTGTATTCTCATCCCCTCATACGATTTTATTAGCGTATTCTCTTGAATAAACGTGATCCATACAGACATTGTTAATGGCACCTCTGACAAAATTTCAGGCTAATCAATTCCTAATAAAATTACATACATTGAAAGCCTAGAACTATGTTTTAACTCTTCAGTGTTCCTAGGAACTAGAGTGGATTTCCTTAGGGTCCAGGAGATGTGAGAAGAGAGGACACTGAGGGGTGGGCAAATCAGGCTCCCTGTGTGAATGTGACTAGATCACTGTCCAGTCACCCTACTCATTGGGCCTTCAGGGTCTTCATCTAAAAGACAGTGAGTTTAGGGTCTCCAGCATCATTCTCTCTCGACAGGAAATTATGCAAATACTTATAATCTTGATTAAGTCCCTATCATTTATTTCACTGAATCACTACAGCTACTGTCATACCTGAACATTACCTTAATAAAGTTGAAGAATATCATAAAGGCAGATTTGCTATCATCCTATATGCTATCCAATTCAGTTGACTGTCCATCATTTGCAAAAATTCTGATCACTAAATTTGCTTTAAGGCTTAGTTTTGAGGTCAAATAAGGTTTTTTTCTTTTAGAACGAGTTTTCGTATAATAAGCTGAATACATGCAAAAGAATAAATTCCACTCTAAAATTCTCAAACTATCACTCAGGTCACCTTCTGAACTCCAAAGGGACAAGTCCAAAACAAGACACCGACTAATCTAAGTTTGAAAAAACACACTGACTACTCTAAGTTTAAAAACTCTCCAATTTAAGTCCTCTGAACATCTTATGACACCTTGGAGCAGAACTGGAGCTGGCAGTCACCAGGTCAACACTTACCTCTTTCTTGGAAAGAAGGCTGGGAGATGCAGCAGTTCATCCATGGTTACCAGGCTGGCCAAGTGCAGAGAGACAGCAGAGCAGGGCTGTGCTCCCCTCCTAAGTGACAGCCAATGAGACCCAGGTGCCAGCTTTCTGTCCTTTAAGCCTGTGGTCCCCAACCCCCAGGCTACTGACCGGTACCAGTCTGTGGTCTTTAGCAACTGGGCCCCACAGCAGGAGGTGAGCGGCAGGCAAGTGAGCAAGGCTTTGTCTGTATTTACAGCCTCTCCCCATCACTCGCATCGCTGCCTGAGCTTTGCCCCCTGTCAGATCAGGGGTGGCATTAGATTCTCTCAGGAGCACAAACCCTACCATAAACTACGCATGTGAGGGATCTAGGCTGTGTGCTCCTTATGAGAATCTAATGTCTCATGATCTGAGGTGGAGCTGAGGCAGTGATGCCAGCACTGGGGAGCAGTTGCAAATACAGATTATCATTAGCAACACACTTCGGGTATCACTGTCTCCCATCATCTCCAGATGGGACCATCTAGTTGCAGGAAAACAAGCTCAGGGCTCCCACTGACTCTGCATTATGGTGAGATGTATAATTATTTCTTCATCTATTACAATGTAATAATAGAAATAAAGTACACAATAAATGTAATGTGCTCGAATCATCCCAAAACCATCCCCCCCTCCCGGTCCATGGAAAAATTGTCTTCCATGAAACTGGTCCCTGGTGCCAAAAAGGTTGAGGATCGCTGCTTTAAGCCTTTAAACTACTCCTCATTCACTTATTATTAAATGATGATTTTACTTCTGTCATCAGAAGCTATGTCTATGTAATAGTAAGACATCTGCTTTTTGTAGTCAATGTAGAAAAAAGTATATTCAAATCTCCTGAGTGGTCTTAGTCACTGGCTGAGAAAGGCAGCCCAAGAGACCCAGCCAGAGCTTAAATCAATCAAGCGAAACCGTGGAAGGCAGATTCTTTGCCTTGAGGCTGAGGGGTTATCCACTGACCAAGCCTATAACCTGGGGGAATAAAATGCAAAAACAGGCACATCTTGTGGAAGTGATGACACACTGAACCCTAAGTGGAGTCGTTAGGCCTATGGTAACTGCGAGATGGTTTTCTGACAAGGAAACATGAAACGGTTCACTAAAAGGCATACCCCAGTGTGGGACTGCTCCAAGTATCATGTCAGAGAAAGTGAATACGCAACAGATCAAAGAGGAGTCACAGAGAAAAGGTTCTCACTTTGACTCTGTGTGGCTCTGACCTCATTTTGAGCTTTTAACAACCACAGGCTGACCCAATTCTAACACTGTACACGTAAAGAACTCCTGACGCAAAAACAAAAACAGAAAGACAAAAAACCTCCTGGCTGAGAGGAAAGAGCGGAGAATACAAAAGGAGTGGTGAGAGGGAAAGCAGCTCTCTCCCGTCTGCAGCACTGTGAGACTGACGGCTCCATCTCTGGGGGGATGGAGGATTCCAGATCCATGTCCTGGCTTGGCTTAGCCCCGTCATGTCCTCTTTGCCCCCAACCAGCTTGCTCTTGCAAAACAGCGTGGAATACTGAGATGGTGGCCCACGTGGTTGAGGGCTGCCTCCTTTCCTGAGACTGTAGGCCCTCCACCTTCCCCTACTCCAGCTCACATGAGGGCTACATCGGTACCATGGCTCAGAGCAGCAGGGGGACTGGAGAGAGGTGGAAGGCAGGGCCATAGGGAGAATGAAGGGAGGGAGGATGACCAGTTTTAAAAGCCTCAATCCCACTGGGTGATTCTGATGTCTCCTCACACCCCGTAAGAAACACTGTTCCCACTCACTGGTAGAGCTCTTGGGTCTCCCTGGACTTGATATGACCTACAGGTCAGGTGTGAAGTAGCCCCCAGCTCCCAGAGTATTTTTTAACCAAAAGTTCCAATGGGGCCAAGCCCAGTTTAAGAGGCCAGCAACACAGACCGTCAGTATTCACCTAACTCTAAAGGGACTAGGGGATTACTTAAAAAGAAAACAAGAGGCTGCTTTTGCTTTTGAGGCAGCATGAGCATAAGGACATTAAAAAACAAAGGAAGAAAGAACACATACCTGAAGGAAGCGATTATTGCTGTAACTTCATCATCTGGATAAAACTGTGTAACTGCATGATGTGCCCCAAGCAATTCCTTCCCATCTTTCCACCAAGAAATTGTGGTGTCCTGGTACCTATTAGGTACATTGATTGAGCAATTAAATTTGACATCCTTATGTTCAGAAAGTACTATGTGTCCAACCGTGTGATTAAATGCAATAGGTGGGAGGAGCTTCGACTCGGCAGAGGTCACCTGGGTGACGGCTGCATTTCCAGCATGTGGTCTTCCAGGCTGGGTTGGTGAAAACATCAAGGCAGGCTGCTGCCCGCTGGTGTGGGGAAAGGAAAGTGGCGTGTGGTCATCTTGCAGGCTCCTTGGCAAAGGTTGTGGGAATGTCAGGTGGGGCTTGGTTTCTTCCCTCGCCTCAGTGATAGCTGTAAAACAGAACATCCAATTTTTAGCCTTTTAAATAACAAAGAAGAGTGTTTTCCAACTTTCAGGCCACAATGAGAGAGAAGTGGGGAATCCTCAATGCCCGCAGAAAAGATGAGCAAAATTCACTTAACGTGTACATCTGGACGTGTGTTCTCATCCACCAGCTCATTCATTCATTCACTTGCCCCAGAAAGAGTGCTTAAGAAGTATAACTCCCCCCAAACAAAAATAAAAATGTCTTTAGTATTGACTCATTCCAAGTCCTTCATACCCAAATCAACAGCAAAACGGGTGATGGCACAGGAGAGCTCCGGATCACTTTTCTTACTGTCTGTTCAGTCACAGACTGTGCCACAAATTTGGGCAATAGTCTTGAAAAGGCTGCTAACGGTCGCAAAGAGATGAGTTTACAATTTTTGTGCTTCAACAAAAAAGTGTGCTTTATGTTACCAGCTATAGAATGACCTGGAACTTCTAGCAAAATGCCTACCTGATGGAATAAACCTGGAAATGTTTATTTTTTATTTTTATTTTTTGAGACGGAATCTTGCTCTGTCACACAGGCTAGAGTGCGGCAGCGTCAGCCTAGCTCACAGCAACCTCAAACTCCTGGGCTCAAGTGATCGTCCCGCCTCAGCCTCCCAGATAGCTGGGACTACAGGAACAAGTCACCACGCCCAGCTAATTCTTTTATTTTTAGTAGAGACAGAGTCTCACTCTTGCTCAGGCTGGTCTCGAACTCCAGAGCTCAAGCAATCCTCCTGCCTCAGCCTCCCAGAGTGCTAAGATTATAGGCATGAGCCACAGCACCCAGCCTGGAAATGTTTTTAATTCATCTGGACCACACAAGTATTTCTAAAAATATAGGCTCACAGTAGTTGTACTTTTAGCTTTTTTAATGGCATTTTGGGAGCATATGTTCTATGCTGGTTGTTATTTATTCAAATATGTTGGCAGCAAGCAGGTGAGGCAGGCAGGTAAGAGAGACACAGACCCAGCATTTTGCGTTGTGGGTTAGTGACTACGGGTACACAGCAGGGACCCCGCCCTGCTCAAGGGCTGGCCTCCTGCCATGCTGAGAAGGTCACACCCTCCTGGGCTCCTGGGTGTGAGTGTGCAGGGAGTAGGGTGGTGTCTGCTTAGGGTTATGCCAGATTTAGCAAATAGCACAGGATGCCCAGTTAAACTTGAATTTCAGATAAATTATTTTTAGTATGAATATTCAGCTAAGGACTTAATTGGCTAACGGAGGGTACAAGTGGGCTATCTAGGGGCAGAAGTGAGGGCATCTGGGAGTTTTTCCTCTAGCTTTCTCCCTGCCAAGCCACTCTGGACTGCAGGTGTGTGCCCCAAATGAAGACCAGAGCGCCTGTCTGGGAGCCCTCTCCATACAGCTCTCTCTCTTTTTCTAGGAACCGCTCCCTCTCGGGGCCCTTGGGAACTGCCTCCTTAGGGAGTCAGGATGAACGTCAGGGAAGGACAAGAGGTTTCACTATAAGAATCCAGGAAAGGCTCACTGCTTTGCCTTAGCCTGAGGTCTGGGTGGGTGTGGGAGTGCAGGGCCCTGCGGGCTTGGGGAGGGCTATGTGGGTCAGCTGTGGGCAGGAGTGAGCCCAGTGGTCCAGACAGATGAGTATGCTGCCATGGGAACGTTCATTTATTCCAGGGAGTGGCGCTCAGGGTGACTACAGACAGGGGCCCTCGCCTCTCCTGCCACCCACAGCCTGCATGCCAGGCTAACCTTCTTGACAGGGTGGGCCTGTGCTCTCTGTAGGGGGAAGGATCTCAGTCCCTGGGTCCCATCTAGCTCCCCCGTCTTCCTCTGGGGATGCTTCCTGCGGTAATGAATGTTCTGGCTGTTTATTTCATGCCTGCAGAACCTGCTCAAGGGTGCTCTATTTATTTCTACGGGCTTTGAAGCCTTTACAATTCACCTTTGCCACTTGGATGAGCAAACTTACCTGAAGTTTGTCCTATTCATTGAGCTCCACAGGACTGAGGAGTAAGAGGTTTTGTCCAAATAATTATTTTTTTTTCCTTTTAAATATAGGTCTCTTTCATAGAAGGCAATAAGTGGAAACAGAAGCAAATAATGCTTTCTCGGTTTGCTTAATTTAATTTACTCAAGAACATTTAAAAATTTTAATTACAAAGGTAACACAAGCTTGTGAAAAAATTAAAATATTTCTTGAAGCATATGCAGTATAAAATGCAAACCTGTTTTGTAATCCTAAGCGGCAAGGTAATCCCTGATTACAATTTGGGGCATAACCTTCAGTTTTCTATGAGCCAAGCTGCTCACTGAACAAACTGCTAACTGAGTAGGGGCAAGGCCACCCACTTGGGTGACGTCATTGAAATCAGGCACAGACAAACCCAACCTGTAATCACACAACACTCTGCATGGTTTAGAAGATAACTGATCTCCACAATTCGAATTGCTAGAAGTTGACAGAATGATTCGATTGCCAACAAATATTCATATAGCATCTCCTGGGTTGAAGATTTGTTACAACAGTCTAATGGGATAAAGAAAGGGACTCGTTTCCGGAGCAGAGCCACAGAAGGTCCCAGGAGTTAAAGGGGAGATAGGACATGACTACCCGGGGGTAGGCAGGGGAGGCTGTCGCATAGGGTCAGGGAGGCCTTTCCCGACAACACCTATAGTTAGCACTCCCAGGTAAGGTACTGGGACCCATTTCTTTTGTAATACCACTTGCGATTACTCATCCAGTTCTTTGCCCCGTGAGGGCTACCACCTACATTACAGCCAGTACGTAGGAAGTGCTCAAAATAGGCTTGTCGAATGAGTGAGTAAAGGCATGGATCTGAGGAGGGATGGGGAGGGTGGCCGGGGTTGCCAGGGGCAAAGGTGGTGGGAAACTGGAGGGAAAGGAAGTGGCCTTACTAGTTTGGTCACAGCAATTTAGCTGTACGGTGGAGCCCCTCTGCTGGGACAAACTGGAACTGGGCTGAATGTGGACAGTCCTGAATCCCAGCTGCGGCAGGCAGAATTCATAGAAGTTTCCTGAGCAGGGAGGGAGAGGATCAGAGCTGCGCTTGATGAGGGGCATTCTGGCACCAGCTTGGGGCTGAGTGAGGGGAAAGAGAACAGGAAGCCGGAAACCTACCAGGAACGTATGGATGACCTAACTACGGGGGTGGCCAGGAAGTAGGAAGGATGCGAGAGACAGAGAAGGGCTGACGGCCACAGTGTCCTCACTGTGGCTAGCATTTCACAAGAGAAAGGTCTGACACCAGATATCTAGGAAGGATGTAATCTCAGCAAAAATGAGAGTTTTCAGAAGTGGACAGTTGGTGGCTTGAGGCTGCTTCAGGTTCAGTGTCCACAAAGGGAAGATGGCGATGGTAACAATGATGCCCAGTAGGGATGCCGGTAGGAATAAAGGAGCTATCACTGTCTGGATCACAGTAAACACTCAATATGTGTGAGCTATTATTACTTTTATTATTTTATCATTTGATTATGAGTCAGTGAAAACCTTCGATGGTCCAGCACTAGAGAACTGCTGATTGACAGGAGGTGGTGCTGAGGCTGGATACCGCTCCCCCACAGGGTTGGTGAGGTTCACGTGACACTGCACAACTTTGGGGGGGTGATACTGCCACTCACATCATCGTCTGTGTGAACGGTTCTCTAGAGCTGTGCAATAACCTCACCAGCCCTATGTGGGGCCTTGACTAATTATGGAAAATATGAAAAAAGGCAAAATAAAAACCATTCCAAGGTTTTGGACCCAACGGTCAGGGCAATGATGAATTAGAAATCACATTTTAAGCTGCTAATTTTTCATTGTTTCAACTACTTCTGTTGTGTAATGTATCCTCCCCTCTCCATTTTTCCCCATGGACATGGAATACTTTCAAAATTATTTTTTGGGGTGTGATGGGGGTGAGTTCAGACAAAAATGGATTACCCACACAAAGACTTAATGCAAATGTGGTCCTTTCTACATAGCACATATGGAAAAATGGGGTGTCTCTGCTGTAATTTGGGTGGAATTCACAAGACATCTTCACCTTTCGCTTTCCACCTTCTTCCAGGGTTGTTTCCTTGTGTGGACTGGATAAACACCCAGAGGGGAAATTCAGCTTCACACAGTGAATGCTGCCAAGCAGTCTCAGATCAACGACCTCCCGCTCAGGTCTGAGAGCAGCCACCCAACTGCTGCAGCAGCTGCATGTGCCTACTCCAGCGGCCACTCCTGTCCAGTCCCGGCGTTGTGTGGTGAAGCGCCCCTGCCCTGTGCCCACATGTTTCCAGTCACCACTCAGCCCTGGATTCCAAACATCTACTTCTTACAATCAGGGATTTTGTCTCCATCACCTTCCTCCAGTGCCCAGCACAGGGACAGGCCCACGGGCTGTGATGAGCAAATATTTATTCATGTACTGTCCATTGTTCCATGTGGGTTTGCCCTGTTTCTCTGAACACATTTACCTGTAGCTCCCTTGAAGGCTGGAGGTGGCATTCTCTGGACCCAGCATCATGCACAGCATAGAGCTGACACTCAGTCAACATCTACGGCATAAACGGGTGTGACATGCATAGGGTCCTGGAGGGTAGGAGAGGTGGTCCAGGCAGGGACATTGCTGTGGCTGTGAGGGGGGGCTCGCTGGGACTATTCTTCCACCACTTGCAGCTGCAGTGGCTCAGACATTTAGGGATTTTGTGAATAGTCTCTGAGACTCAAAATTGGTCAATTAAGGGATGCTAGTGAAGAACTCACTTTCTATGTGATCAACTAGTACATCCCACTCTTAAATCCATTAATATCTGCTGAGCACAGTGTGTGATGGCAAGTGGGCTGGTGGGCAATGCTACCCAGTGACAGCCAGCAGCTGTGCAGGGAGCCAAGGCCCACCCAGCCCTCACTGCCTCAAGGTATGACCTCAGGAAAGCTCTTTAACCTCTCTCAACCCCTGTGAGGACAAGAGGACCTCAGCAGTAGCAGCTGACAGGTACAGGGCCTACCAG